AAAAGGTGAAACGATTGGGCACCCTGGGAGATTTTTTAATCAAGTAATTACAGTAATTAGATGCAAGGCAAATGTCAAAAGCCTGCACGAAATTCCCATGCGTAGAAAAAACACGATGAGAATTCACAATTGGCAAGCGATCTCGTATTTCTCCACTTTGGGAACCGATCTGAGAAGGTCCTGATTCTGTCAGAATACTATTTTTATTATATTTAAGGAAACTATCACATTTTTAGTACGAAGTTAAGGTATACAGATTAATCTTTATGCGAACTATCGTGATAAACATAGCATTTTAAGTATTAGAAATGTATTAATTTTAATTTTTTTCTTTAAAGATACGTATATTAAGAGATACGTATATCATAACAAGCGCTATTTTGATTATGTAAGCCTACTTGTAAGGTAAAACTCTATTATATTTCCTAGAAATTAAACCACCAACTTTTAAGATTGCTCAGTCAGAAGATTCCATTTAATAATGCCAACTTTTCCCTGAGACTTTTCCGCGAAGCGCTCAAGAAATCAACTTTTTGCATTTTCCACACCTCAAGTGTCTGCAACAATGAAACGAAGGGAGGAAACTGGAGGGATGCTGGCGACGAGGGATAGGAGATATGTATGGCATTCATTACAGCAATTGAAATGGACAAAAGCCAAAATTCAAGGCAGGCAAAAATGACGACAGCAAAAGTTGAAAAAGGGATAATAAAATGTTTGCATATAAAATATTAAATAAAAGACGCAATGAAGGTGTAGAGGAGGAGACTTTGCCTTCTCTACATAGAAAGCAACTAAATGAGCGAGCACACTGAAAGAATTTGAACAACATTTTTGTTCTTAAAGATGGATTATATAGTTAAACTTTTATCTGTCTAGTATTTCTGAAGGTTATAAATTAGATAATGGCTTACCCCTGCTGATTTAATCGGAGTTTTAATATAACCTTTTTATACAAAGGATATTTTTGGGTTGTGTAAAAGAGTTACTTAGAACAGAAAAACATTTTTTTGAAAAAACTGTATCTTATAGATTATTATTTTTATGTTTTTTAATAATACTTCCATACTTTTTCCGTACTTAAAATATGTACTATTTGTAAATCGTACAAAAGAAAAACATAAAAAGAAGATAAATAAAAATAAATTCAAATTTATGAATCTTACAAAAGATAGAATACATTAAAATTTACTGTCTAAAATTCTATGTAGGTTCTATTATACCTATGTTATTTTTTGCCGTGCACCTACGTCAGCGGCAACAACAAAATGACGGAGCCAGGTGGACCGAGAGATCCAGGTGAGTTTTTTTTTCAGTTCCCGGGCAAAAGGCTCTACGGGTGGGTAAATAGAGCCCATCTATGTATGCAATATATGTATGTTCGGGGGCGGGTGCACGTGTATGGGTGGCACAACTCGATGATGAGCATGGAAGCACCGTTAGTGGGCGTATCAAATGGCTAGAAGCAGCGCAGTCGGCGCACAAAATGGCAGCGCATGCGTCGCACTGCTCTAGCATCCATATTTTCGTATAGCCAATCGGTGGGTGTGTCCTCGCTTACTCACACACGCACACACACACACACACACCGTTGATTAGCCTCGACATTTTGTTACTGTTGCTCTCTCGCCATCTCCCTTTCGCTCTCGCTGGAAATTCAACAGGCACCCACACCATCTATTGCCAGCTCACTCACTCCCGCAGAATGGCCATTCAAATGCATCGGCACTCGAAAAATGTGAACTTTACTTTTCGCTCCAAAACCGGCTTTTACTTTCGTTGCAAATAATTCGAGAAAAAAAGTTCATAAAATTAGCCAAGCAAATGTGAGACTCAATAATCTACTTTGTGACAGTTGGGGCAATTTTTTTCTTTTCAAAATTAATCAGCACAGCGGCGTCCACTCGAGAATTCAGAATATTGGAAAAGCGCACAATTTCCAAGTTGATTAATTTCGCGCCACTGCTTTGCAACTGTGTGCGTTCGTGTGTGCTGGTGTGTGTGCTTGTGTGTGTGTGAGAGTGAGTGGCACACGTTCTTACCTGTCCAAAAATTCACCTTTTTCGTTGGCTAACAAAGGCATCTCCACAAAGATACCACAAAAAGTTGCCAAAAAACACGTAACGAAAATTTCACTATTTATTTGTGTGCTCTCGCCTGTTATGAATTAAGTGTCCTGCGTGTGTGTGTGTGTGTGTGCGCTTTGTTGTTGCCCACCGCTTTGTCAGTCCTCGAAAATGTTACCACAAAAAATCACAAATTGCGGGTTCAAAGGTGAATAGTGGAAGGGGCTTACCAAAAATAATAATAAAAATCACTTAAATCCATCAATAAGGCTGCAGTTACTGAGAACAATGTAACAAAAGTTTTAAGTACCAAGGAATATCATAAATATCTTGTGGATAGCGTAGGCAGAATAGTAACTAAAATAATTACATATTTCAACAGCGTCGTTTTGCAGTAACGAACATAAAAAAATTATTTTTAAGAAAGTTTAAACTAAACTAATCAATTTTAAATTTGTAAGTAGAATTTTATATTTCTTTCAAAATGTTCTTATACATAAGTAAATAAACAAAAGTGTTAGATAAAATAATTTAACACCTATAATTTAGAATTAAGTGCATTTATTTTAAACAACATCTTAAAATTTGTATTACTTTTCCTAAATTTTTTGTATGTGGATATTTTTACCAACACAATCAATCTAGCACTAATTGATTTTATTAAGTATGTATAAACAACTGTTTATAAACAACTTTCTTAACAATTCTTAAATAAAGAAATTTATATACATTTTTTTAAAACGAAATTCAAATGCAGAAACAGCCACTCACTGGGAAGCGCGTTCATTGCAGAAAATGGTCACCCCAAACCGATAGGCACGACCACTTGGCATTCGCCCCGAAAGGTCCACTGGGTTCCATCTCTAAAAAGATATGTTAAGTTTTTAATTCCAATCGTTATCGGCCACCAGACGTCTACAGCTCCGCGGAAGATACCACTTCTAGAAGATAATGGAGCCGCAACCTTTCATGTCGTATATCTGCCCCATAAACTGCTTTTCGAAAAAAATTTTTGTTTAATATTTTTATTATTCTATTGAATTTGTATTCTATGAGCGCATCCTATCCTAGGAGCATGGGTTACAAGGCTAAATTGAATGTGATATATACCTCGAAATTACACGTTTTATTATTTATTATTATTATTTTTTATTTTAATTTAGTCATACTGAATTCAAATTTGCACGGTGAACATTCGGAGGTTCACGAAAATACATCAGTTGCAGGACAATACTGTCACTTTATCGACTTAAGAAGGTAATTTTCACTGTTTTTTTTTTTGGATTTGATTCTTTACATTTACGTCTGCTCAGTTGGCAATAAATTAAATGTTATGACAATAAATTCAGTGTTAGTTAATTTTCACTTGATGGAGAAATTGGTCTTGGGGTCATTTTTAAGTTAGTATTCAAAACTGTCAAGTCAAATTTTTGGGAAAACAATAAGTATGTGATATATACCTCGAGATTGCACGTTTTATTATTTTTTATTTTAATTTTGTCGTGCGAGGTAGTTGCTGTATTGCATGCGACTACTGAATTCAAATTTGCACGGTGGACACTCGGAGGTTCACGAAAATGCGTCAGTTGCAAGACAATACTGATCGACTTTAAAAGGTAATTTTCACTTGTTGAAGAAACTGGTCCTTGCGGTTATTTTTAAGTTAGTATTCAAAACTGTCAAGTCAAATTTTTGGGAAAACAATAAGCTTATTCGTTGGTTCTTTGTGGCATTTCTCCGGGGATCCGCACACCTGCCGAAAATTAGTGTTTTCAAAGAAATTCCCCCTTTCTCCCGTTTTCCAACAGTCTTATTTATCGTTTCGTCATCGGAATGTTTAAGTTTGTCACAGTACATTTCTCCTAAAGCTTTCTTATTTCAAAAAAAAAATAAAACGAAAAAAACGTGAAAACCGGATCCGGGTTGATAAATTAAATATGCCATTGACAACAATGGCATCCTCGACTACCAACCCGTATAAAATATTAAAAAAATGTATGAGTTTATAAGTAAATCAAAGCTAGCAATATAATGTGTGTTTACTCATGTGACAATAATAAAATATTTTTGTAGTTTCTATTACTGCTACGAACTTGGTGTCTTTAGGGACGCGTAGCTTTCAACGAGTGCCCTGAACGAGAAAATGAGACAATATTTGCGCAGATAAACACAGAAAACAATATCACAAAAGGGCTTAATCAATTTTGCTGTCCCTGTCCAAGTAACGAATCCGAAGTGTAAGGAATTATTTCTATTTTACATTGTTTTTTGGTTGTTTTTATATTAGCCTATAAATATATATTCGATTCTAAGATGCGATTGCACTTCTTGAACCCGGCTCATCCTAAGGAAGGGTGATGATGACGAAGGTTAGCCAAATGGTCAGCAAAATTTTTGGAATTTTGTGGACTGGATGATTCGGAAAGGTATTGGGTCACGTTCAGTGGTCATGACCTGATGCAATTTTTACGATAGTTCTGCTGAACGCTCATGATGCAAAAATTCTGGCATACATAATCGATGATTGAAATATCGATCAAATTAACAGAACCAGAATACAAAACATCTAGGGTATTCCCTATAACATTTTAGTATCACCGGTAAGCATTATTTACTTTAAAATCAATTCAGAAAATATATTTTTAGTTCTTACCTTATTAAAAATTTAGGCGTCTACCTATGATGAAAAATTAAATATTTCATGTTTTTACATCTAAAAAATTAACAACTGGTCACAGCTGTTTAGGAATTCAACAGGAACCATTTAGGGTCATTCCCTCAAACGCCGATATTTTTTGTCAAGTTCAAGCAGATGTAGTTTTGTTTGAAAAATTTGAAAATTTGTTTAAATTTACCGCCTTTCGATATCAGGTGGTTGATTTTTCCCACTCAATGTCCATCGATATCGACAAAAGACCAAAGTTCCCCAAACCCAACAAGGTCCATCTCTAAAAAGACACGTAAAGGCAACAAACAGAGTAAAAAAGTGACAAAGTCAAATTTATGAATTAAGTACAAAGAAATACAAGAGCTGACACAATGGACGCTGGCGTGTGGTACCGCTCGCTGCCCCGATTCACCAGATATTGGCTGACGGCCACCGTGGTGCTGAGCATGCTCTGCCGCTTCGACGTTATCCCCCTCTATTGGCTGCATCTGGACCGATCTGCGGTCTTTGGCAAGCTGCAGCTCTGGCGCTGTGTGACGTCACTGTTCGTGTTCCCAATCTCCTCAAATACAGCGTTTCACTTCCTTATCAATTGTTTTTTCATAGTGCAATACAGGTGAGTGTGGGTGTCACACAGTTTAATTACCATATCTTTACTATATATCTCTCGTTACAGCTCGAAACTGGAGAAGGATCAGTATAGTCGAAGTCCAGCGGATTATCTCTACCTGCTGATCGTATCAGCTGTGCTGGCCAATATCGGTGGTATGATATTCAATGTTTACTTCCTCATGGACATGCTCGTCCTGGCCATCACCTATATTTGGTGTCAGCTGAACAAGGATGTCACCGTGAGCTTCTGGTTCGGCACCAGATTCAAGGCCATGTACCTTCCCTGGGTCCTGGCCGCCTTCGAGTTCATTTTCCACTTGTAAGTGATATGAAATGGTCGTAATTCGGGTTCCTTTACATCATTGTAATCCCTTGCAGCTCCCTCGCCTCGCTGGTGGGCATTTTTGTGGGACATGTCTACTACTTCTTCAAGTTCCAGTACTCCCAAGACCTGGGCGGAGTTGCCCTGCTGGAAACCCCTCAATTCCTGTAAGTAGTCGAGAGTAACTATTTGTAAAAAGCGGTTTTATAAAAGGAGTACCTATCTCTTTTTAGAAAGCGTCTTGTGCCGGACATTTCCGGTGGATTTGGTGGCTTCGGAGTGCCACCGGAGAGCAGAGCACCACCGCGACAAGCGCCCGAAAGTCCTTGGGGCCGGGGCATGACCTTGGGTCGTAACTAAGCACTCAACTGATCCTCGAAAGTAGACTAATTCACTTTTTATGCTTTGGTTTTCGTCTTTTCTGAACCAAGCTCTTATACAAAAAACCCATATTTTTCAAACTATTTTTCAATCACCACTCGATTCTCTGGCAACAGCAATAAGTTAACATGTTAAGTGGCAGGTTTGCATTGTGCATTAATGAAATTATATTGATATATGTTTGTACATATATGACCATCAAGAGAACAACTTGTTTATTTTCATTTTGGGAAATCCTTGTTTTCAAAAAAAAGACCATGTAGGTTTGTTACATTTAAATTTATTTCGTTTAAAATTTTTATACTTAAAATTTTACAGCGACGCATCGTTCAACAATATTTTTGTATTACAATTTTTACTTTTCTGTGGAGAGGAGGAATTCTCTGGTTTTTGATGGTGTTTCCGTTTGTTTTTCATTTAGGGGCTTAGTCTAAAAGTTACAACACCCCTCCTAAGATTTGGATTTACAAAATCGACGCATAAAATACTTAACATCTATAAATCGTAATGGTTAATCATCTGCGTTATAAGGTTTGCATTTCGAAATTCATAAAATATTTACATTTTCGGGTTGGGTCAACTAGGGTCTATAATCTCATACAATTAAGAAATCTTTCAAGTTGAACATTTAAACAATTTTTTCTCACTTTCCTTGCGCGTTTCTCGCATCTTTTGTGTACATTTTTGCTTTTATTGTGGGTAAACCTAAGGCAACTAAACTACAATGAAATTATGCTAGGCAAAAGATGAGGTTTAGGGGGCGAAGTGTGGACTCTATTTACAAGCTATACAAAACTAAGGTAAGTCTGCAGAGGCATCTGCCCTATGTACAGGAAAGAAAGGGATCGATTCCAGGCTCCGAAGATTGCAGGCGAATGAAATGAAATAGTTAAACTAAAACTAACACGAATTCCAGGGTATACCTTTCACTATACGATAATATGTTTAAAACAGTGGTGGTTGTGTGATTTGGCAACTTAACTATTGCGAACATAACGCTCATATTTAACTTAGGCTCCACAAACAAGCATAGAAAACTGTACGATAATCTTGCACTTTGCTCCAAGGCTGCTGATTGCGATAGTTAAAAATTAAAAAGGAAAACTCTCGACATTGACGCTAAACTACTAACTAAATCTAATTTAAACCGGGTCTGCTGTGTGTGTGTGTGTGTGCGTTCTCTCACTCGAATGCCTCGAAATGGGGATCCTTTAAGGTAACTTAATTGGTGATTGGATAACCGATCCCGATCTATAGGCTAGCTGCTCCTGTTGCCAGTGGCTGCTCCATGTGCTTTTTTTGCTGCTGTGGAGTTGCCGAGACGATAGCTGCCTTCAATGTGGTTGTGGCCGTCTCTGGCGATATGTTGCTGGTGCTCTCTATCTCTATCGGCTGCTCCAGATCCATGTCCACATACTCGATGGCACTATCGTCCTCTGGATGCAGTTCAATGACTGGAAAAGACAGCCACAAATGTGTAAATTACTAAAATGCTTGAATTCGGTCAGTTTTTTATAAAATATGCAAGAGTTCAACGACATTATACTATTTCTCGAATAAATTCCACTACAAATCAGCTCTACAACTCAAGAAACCCCACTCACTGCTATTGTTCAGGTCCATTGTAGATTCTTGGTCATTCCGCTCCTCCATTTCCTCCTCCAGATCTTCATCTTCCTCGATTAGTTCATCTTCCAGAGCTTGTTTGGATGAAGTGGTCGCCGACTTGGTGGCCGCCTGATCCAGCTCCATTTCCCAATCGGTGGCATTGAATACAACGAGGGGAGAATTCTTAACCGAAGTCTGATTGAGCTCCGTAGTGGTTCCATTGTCTGACACAATGATGGGCATATTTATAATATCGATGGGTGTATCCTCGGTTATGAGTTGGTTGGGTTTTGGCTTAGTGCCTCCAGACGGATTTGGCGATGATGATGATGCTGCACTCGACGTGGGTGCTGGGGTAGTGGTGGCTCCAATGACCATCACATTGGACTTCGGCTTGGTTGCCAGTGTGAGCGTCCTCATTCCACTCGCCGCACTCGCTGGCAGGAAAACCAGATTGTGCTTACCACCGCTCGCAGTGGCGATGGTCAGAGTGGTGGGTTTGCCGCCCAGGGTTGTCTGCTTGGCACTCGAACTCAAGCCGGAAATGGTTGTCGTGGTGGTGGTGGGACTATTGCATCCACTATTCCCGCTCGCGGTGGCCGGCTGGAGTATCTGCATCTTTTGTATGCTAGTTCTTTGCTCTCTCGCCGGCAGATTTGTGGGCGAAACGGCTGTGGTGGTGGTCACTACTCCACCGGTTCCCACAACCGAAGTGCCGCTTGTATTGTTAAGCTTGTGAATGATGCTTCCGGCTGGCAGCTTTCCAGGCTGAAGAAACACCTTTCCATTTGGTGAGCAAATTTTTATGTTTCGCAAAGCACTACTGGGCACCTGTTTGATGGTGGCTGCTCCTCCCGAGCTGCTGGTTAGCTTAATGTTACCCAGGATTTGGGGGGCACCTCCTGTTCCGCCTGTTGCACCAATAACTGTTGCTCCGCCTGCACCACTCACTGCTCCACCACTTGCGCCCTTAATCTGAGGCGTTGTCACCTTCGCCCTAAAGAGATTGGCCGGCATTGTTGTTCCTGCTGAGGGCAGCGGTGTTATCAGGGTGTTGTTCAAACTACTTGCTGGTATATTCTTGATGATATTAACTGTGGAGGCGCTGCTCAAAGGAGTAACCCTGGAGTCCTTCATGGGCGACAAAGGACCGCCAATGGGTTCTGTGTAGGGTAGCAAACGAACCGCCGAACTGGGAAGAGTTTTCGGTTTGGCATCGCCCTCCAGAAGATTAAACTTCTTCGGCGTTATCTTGGAGCCTGGCGGCAGCAGCGTAGAGTTTGTGGTGCCGGTGGGCGAAGCTATGGCTGGCCGCAGTTTGGCGCCCATTGGCGGAGCTGGGATCTGTTGTACGCTGATGATCTGGGGTGCCAGTGGAAGATTTGCGGTGGATATAGGAGTAGGCGTAGTGGCAGCAGATGGCAGCGAATCCGGATTTCTTTCCTCCACCCCATACTTTTTCCCGGGTGCACCTTGTGCCTGCCCCTGAACAGCTGAAGCCTGCAGCTTCTCCTTAAAAACTATTGGCGAGTTCGCGAATCCTCGAGCGCCTGGCGTTGTGGGTGAACCAATTTCAGTGGCTCCTGCTCCACCTTGTGGTCCGTACACTATTGGTTTAAGGGGTTTTAGTGGCTTTAGCGTGACAAGTGGTCTCAGATCATTAAGGAAGGTATAGGGAGGTGTGGCTGTGGATGTGGACGTTGGTGGCGTAGTGGCCGCCAGCGTTTTGAGCGCCTCATCGAGCACATACTCCACATGTGGCTGCACCACCATATGATTGGGCACCGTTTCCGGCGATTGCATTAATACTTTTTGTTGCTGGTGTTGCTGCAACTTTTGTTGCTGCTGATGTTGCAGTTGCTTCTGCGCCCTCCTTCCACTTTTGGCCGGAGCAGCTATTCGCTTTCCTGGCGAGGAATCTCCCCCTGACGATGGTAGGTTCCTGCCGCCCAAAGGACTTCCGGACTGGGCGGAGGGTGAGCCCAAGCTATTGGACAGATTCCGTTTGCTGGCCAGGCGCTGCTTGTGTTTCATCTGTTGCTGATAGAAGTAGCGCTGCTGAAGGGTGCGAGGAGTGAGCCGCTTCTCCGCAGGCACAGCATCTCCATCCTCGGCGGCGGGATTCGAGGATGGACTCAGCTGCTGTGGCTGCTGCTGGGGTACCGGCAGGTGAGGCTGCTGCGAATGTGGCTGTTGCATGTGCCTCTTCTTGTTGGGCTTGCCTTCCACTCCGCCCTCGTTCTCCTTGCGCTTCTGTGTCATTTTTTTGACCTCGTTGGGCACATCGGGCACTTTAAACTAGAGGAAGGAAACAAGATAATTAAATTTATTAGAAATACCGCAGCATTGGAATTTTTTTAAATTGAAAAATGTTAAAAAAAAATTTTTTCCTTACTATAGGGACTTTACTTTTAAACTCTATCAAATGATGAAATAATGTTAAATATAAATTTCTAACAATTAACACTTAATATTATTTAGTTAATAGTTAAGTATTATTTAAATATTAAAGATTTTCCTATGATATGTTATATAATTCCATTCAAAATTCGATTTAAACGGTTGAAATGTTTACCCTCTATCGATAACAGACTGTTAACAGTCAAGTTAACAGATACTCACTGTTTTCTGTTAATGGCAGTTAAATTTAATTGGCTGATTAGCAAAGATATATATCAACAAAAGTAAATAAAATAGTACATTAAAAAGTTAGAAGTGGTAAATATTTTCAAGAAAATCAACTTTTAGTTTTCCCGCCTAAATGAATTTCTGATTGGAACACAAAAACCAATTAGAGGTGTTTCAAATAGGAACATTTTCTTTCAATAAGGAAATTTATGTTTTTTTTTTAGATATTTTGAAGTCAAATGAAACATTTAGTTATATATTTAGAAGGGGATTAGCTCTTGGGAACTTTTAAGCACTGGCCAACGGAAGCCACCCACTTGTTTTCATCGCAGGTACAGTCTGCACTTGCGCTGCCCTTAGGCGAGAGAAAACGAAGCGCTGGGATTATGTAACTCACCGGCTCCTCCATGATCACCATGGCGGGATCCTGACACCTGCCGCTCCGAGGATATTTCAGGCTCATCAGCGAAGCCTGCTCCACGAGGGCTTCTCCGAAATGCGCCGCCGTTTCGGCGGGAGCCGCCAATTTGGCATTTTCCTCGCATACTTTGGCCGCCAGATCATTGGCAGCGATACTGAGGGCTGTTTGTGGACTGATCCTGGGTAGCAGTGGATAGGGACGTCGTCCTTCGCGTGACCATTCCTGCCAGGTGTTGGGGCCACAAACACTGTTGGGCGAATACAGATAGATACAGAGGATTTTTCAATGGCTTTGCAGCGGGGTGTACAAGGCACGATTCTCACTTTTCGGCAATGGTGCAGAGCTGCTCGTCGTTGGCCGCCCTTCGCACTTCCGCCCGATGACGCTCCTGGTTGATGTGAAAGTGCTGGCGCAGATCCTCCAGCAGTTTCGCCTTGGTTTCACTGAGGCCTCCTTGGGCGCGAAAAACGCTCACCACATGCGAATAGGACTCGAGTTCTGGTGGACACACAAGCGTAAAGAAAGAGGAGGATTCGGTTTAGTTGGTTGTGCTACCCTCAAGGGGCCGTCCTCGTCAGCTCCCGGAATGGGACCGACTTCCGTGGACCATTCAGCTCACCCAGTCGACGCAGCATGCCTCGGCATTCGTCCCGCGACATTTCCAGCGTTTGCGGCCACATCCCGACTTTCCCCTTGATTGGTGTCCTGGCCGTCGGCGGTGCCTTGCTTTTCAGGTTGCCCGAGCTTCGGCCAAAGCAGGATTTGGTCGCTAATTCAAGAAATAAACGGAAAATTGGTTGGATGGATGCTTAAATAGACTTTTAGATAGAGGTGGCGAAACATCGATGCCAACATCGGTGCTATCGATGTTTTTAAACAATCGGCAAACGCCGATGTTTGGCAGGGCATCAGCGATGTTTTGATTTTCTTGAATTTTTTATTGCTATATACTGTCGTAAATTATTAGACAATTAAGAAAAAGTGGTAAAAGAAATTCTAATTTTATATAAAGTTAATAAATTGTGCGTACTGCGGTACATATATCGTTTAGAGCTGCTAAAAAAATTTAGTTTGGTGACCACTCAAAACATAGAAGTTCCTAAAATTACTAAGTTTCTGGAAATTAAATTCGTTTGAACCATCTGATAATTTTAAATTTGTATTTGTTTATTTTAAACATCGATGAAACTTTCATTGTTTTTCCATCACTATTTTTAGAGTTACCAGCTAGAACGTGCTAAAAAAGTGTAGAGGAACCAAGTTTAAGCAACTATCGAAAGCGCTGTTGTTATATATCGATATATTTAAAATACATTTTGTAATTTAAACTTGAAATCATACCATTTAAATGTAAAAAAACCTAAGATGATTCATAGTAACGTTTTGATTAAGGCTAGTTTAAATTTCAATTTATAAAAATTACCGCCATATATGTATGTATATTAACGAACTACATTGGACTACTCATATGACCGTTTGATAGGCAAAGGGTTAATACCGATAATATCGTGATTTGTTTGCTCAATTTATCAACATTTGTCTAAAAACAACAATTTCATAGAAATAATCGTAGGATATAATGCAATGCCTGCCAGAAAGCATTATGAAAAGGAGACGACTGTATATAGCCGGTCTGGCCGGTCTAGGGCTTATAATTTTGGTATCGATCTACAAATGTGGAAACGACGGAGAACGGCAGGCATCGGAGATTAGGAAATGTTTCTTCTGCGATTTCGCCCACCGCCGCCAAGGCCCTCCCCCAATTTTGGAGGTGGAAACCGATGAATATGTGATTTTCAAGGACAAATACCCTGCAGCCCAACATCATTACCTGGCGATTCCAAAGGAACACTTCGACAGCTTGAAATCACTCAACAGATCCCACCTGGGATTGGGTAAGAAGCCACGTCTCAGATGATAAGTATCCATAAGTACAATAACTTGTTATATTCGTAGTGCAACGCATGCAGGCGGGAATGATGGAGTTCCTAAAGACGAAGAATGTAGATCCCAAGGAGGCAATTATTGGATTCCATTTGCCCCCATTTATATCAGTTCACCACCTCCATTTGCATGGCATTTTCCCACCCTCCGATATGAGCATCGGTAACAAGATCAGCTTTATGTCTTCATTCTGGTTTAAAAAGGTTGTAGAAAACATCTGTTTACTTTTGTTATCGCTAAATGTTATTGTTTATTTTTAGTCCGAGGACGCTATACATGATTTGGAGGACCGGGAACTGTGAAAAGGGTTGAGAACTGTTCTATTCCAGCAGTGCAATACTAAAAAATTAAGGTTTACACGATATTTGTTTACCTGCAACTACCTACTGTTGCTTCAATCTGCGACTGATCCTCCAGTGATAAAGAACCTCAGGTTACAAATGAAGGACTGTACAAATTTACAAAATTGCTATCGACTTAATAAATGTTTACAATTTATTATAACACATGAATAATGCATTTTTAATAGTTTTAATAATATAATGACCTGCTAGAGTATCAAAAGTGCTTTACCAATTTAAAATATATCGATTTCATTGGCAAACAACCGTACCATCGCTATAGGATTTGCCATTCACTGGGAAAGATGGTCTGGAATTGAAATGTATTTAAATTTTCCGACATTTTCCGGGCCCAAAACACTGCTGGAAAATGTTATTCCGCTCAGCGAAAAGCAAGTTCGACGCCGGCGACGTGATGCGTCGAATGAAGCGCCTGGCGGAGGGCACCATGTCCTCCTACCGCCGACTGTTCCTCCTGCTCCTCTGCGTCTGTGTGGTCTTCTATATGATTCCGCCGATCTTTCGCTATATTTTCCTTAGTGCCCCCGAACAGAAAGGTGAGTGAGCCGGTCTTAGTGTCCTGGTCTAACCACCATCCATTGCAGATCCCCACAGCATGTGCATGGACGATCGGCTGACGCCTTTTTTCCTGCCAAATTCTGAGTTTGATGCCAATATTCGTCACGTGTCACCAGCGAAAATACCCGGCGACAGCGATTACACGCCCTACGTGGGAAACGGCTATCTGGGCTTGGAGATCGCCCACGACGCCTTCCTTAACATCAAAAATGGCAGGGCCATGCAGCTTCCTATTCGCTTTCAGCCGGTGGTTTCCGTGTCGGGTGGACCCGCATCTGGTGGCGAAAAGGAGGCCACTGTCGTCGAGTATTTGACGGGAATGGTCCACCGATTCCAGTGCTTCGCGGGCTATTTTGTTTCCTACACCTACTACGCCCATCGCACTCAGCCTAATATCTTCATGCAGGAGGTGCAGATCACGAACACCAGGAACCTCTTGGAGGACATCGAGTTGATCATGCCACGCGTCAATCTGCAAAAGCTCAGCAGGCGAACAGTGGCCCTTAGGTTAGATTTATGGTGTTTTATCCGTTGACTATAGCTAACTTGCTTCCTATTCCCTTTCAGTGAAACCGCCTCGGTTGGAGTGTTCACCTACACAGAGCTGGAGGTGCTCTCGGGCATAGTGCAGCCCCACCCAGAAACTCCCAGTAAATCCATTGTTATAAGCATAGTAAAACCACAGTTGGATTCCAAATTGCAGCTTAGAAAGCGAGGCACAGTTAGAATTGTGTATCCCATAGCAGTTCAATACACGAAACCTGTGCCAGATGCGCAAGTCAAGGGCTTGAGCGAAGCCACCGAGCAGCAGGCCACTCAGGCGATGACCAAGCTACTCCAGAAACTTGGCTCCAAGGCGTCGAATCCGGGATCCCAGAATAGCATTAACACCTACCGCCAGGAGCACATCGATGTGTGGACGGATCTGTGGGCCACTGGCTTTACGATAAGCACCTCCAAGGCGGAGAACAGTCTAAACGGCGACCGCATCAATGCCACAATGTATGCTGTTCTCTCGCAGGTGCGCAGCTTTGAGTTCGAGGAGACGGGTGCCTCTAAAAAAGAGGAGATTGCGAAGGCACTCACCTACGCCGAGGGTTGCTACGATTCGTATCACACTCTGCAGGCGGAAAATCTGTGGCGAGAGATGTCAAATCTGCAACAGCTCAATTCCCTGGTTACATCGTGGATGTTAACATTGGAAAAGCAAGGCTGTCACAATCTTATACGAGCTGGAGCCTCGGGCGTAATCCAAGGCATGGTCCTGAGCTTTGGCAGCTTTCGTTTTAGCAATCAGCATCTTGAGTGCAATATCCATCCGAAGTTCCTGCACAGGGACTTTCATTTCAGGCGCCTCAATTACGGCAATAAAACCCATGTCAATGTCACCATTATTGTGAAGGATGACAACAAGGCGGTTATCAATGTGGCGCTGGACCGCTCTGACAGGAGTTACTATGCCTGCGATGGCGGTTGCCTGGATGAGCCCGTGCTGCTAACGTAAATAAGACCCTTAAGCAAACCCTAAGTTTCTTATTTTAATAATGGTTTTAATTGCAGGCCCAATCGACGACAATTCCCAGTTAAACTGACTGAACCTCTAACAGCAATATTATACATAACCGAGGACAAGCAGCACATGGAGGAGTTGCACCATGTGCTTCACGTTAAGGAAGTGGTCGAAGGTATGCTGTTGGATTAGGAAAAGCGAATACAATCGTTTCCTAATTCTTTTGTTTCTTGCTTCCAGCTCCTGCCCATGAACAACATCTAATCGCCCTGCATCGGCATGGCCACCAACTGGGTGGATTGCCCACGCTTTTCTGGGTTTCCGTGTGTGCAATAATCATAGTATTCCACATATTCCTGTGCAAGCTCATTATCAAGGAGTACTGCGAACCGAGCGATAAGTTAAGATATCGTTATAACAAACCGTGATCCTAGTTGTATATAAAAATTGGATGCTAGTAAAATATGATTACCTAATGAAAAATTAACACCAATAAGTAATATTCCTTTGGTATTAACTTTAGTGTATGTTTTAACTTTGTTGTTGTCCGATATATTTTGAATATAGTTGCGTAACGCTTGACTGTAATTAACCAAAAAAGAATTAAACATATATTTTTTATAATTTAATTATCCACCATTTAATATTTGCTTCAAAGAAGCTCATTTTCTATGCTTAAATCTAATGTTTTGATATCCCGTTTCCCTAAATATAATTCAAAGTCATTGTATTTTCTAACGTTTAAAATGCTTTACTTTCCAAAAGGCAGATCATTTAGCTTATATACAGAGATATAGATAGAGAGTGTGCAAAATGCATTGGTTTAACTATAGTTCTTGATTTCGTTGGTGCTAGAAAATTCGTACAGGTGCCGATAAATAGGTACTACAGAAACTCCATCTCAACTTCGATATCCACTGGTCCACTCGTAACTGTAACTCCACCCTACTTGGTGACCTTGTGTATGCTCTCGGCCAGGTACTCGACATTCTTGCTGGTGACTCCCGCCATCGAAACACGACCATCGTTGGTCAGATAAACACTGTGCTCCTTGATCAACTTCTGGACCTGCTCTGGCTTAAGTCCGGTGAAACAGAACATGCCGATTTGGTTGACAATGTGATCCCAGTTCTGGCTGGATCCCAGTTTCTGCAGGTTGTCCTTCAGCTGGGTGCGTACATTGATGATGCGGTCGGCCATCAGCTTCACATCCTTCAGCCACTGGGCGCGCAAGTCCTCGTTGTTCAGGATCTCGGCGGCAATACGAGCACCATGAACGGGGGGATTGGAGTACAGACCACGGATCAGGATCTTAACCTGGGACATCACACGGGCAGCCTCCTCCTCATCGGAGCATAGCACAGTGAAGGCACCAGCACGCTCGCCATACAATCCCATGTTCTTGGCGAAACTCTGGGCCAGGGAGAAGTCATGGCCATCGGCCTCGAAGGTGCGAACAGCCTGGGCATCGCGATCGATGTCACCGGTGGCGAATCCCTGGTAGGCCATGTCGATGAAGGGATACAGATTGCGGCTCTTCACCACCGCCGAGATTTCTTTCCATTGCTCCAGAGTGGGATCGACTCCAGTTGGGTTGTGGGCGCAGGCGTGCAGGAGAACGATGCTCTTCTCGGGGATTTTCTGAAATTAAATCATAAAAGGTAAGCATTAGAAAGGAACTACTTAAATGATAATCCTTTCTCTCACCTTCAGATCCTCGATCAGGCCGGCAAAGTCCAGGGCGCAGGTGTCCTTGTTGTAGTAGCGATACCGATTCACCGGCAGACCGGCGTGCTCGAAAATGGCCACATGGTTGCCCCAAGATGGCGACGGGATGTAGATTTCGCGGTTGCCCTTCCAGAATTTGGCCAAAAAGGCGGCTCCGATGCGTAGAGCTCCAGTTCCACTGATGGACTGGGCGGTCACATTGTGCTTGGCCGCCAGACGCTTGGATCCCTAAAATGGCAAGTTAATGAATTATTATGTAACATTTTATGGGTATAAAATGTATAATTACCGTGCCCAAAGCCAGTTCAATGGCTTTGTTGTAGAACTCGGGAATGCCGATAATAGTGGCGTACTCCTTATCCAAGTTACGGCTCAGTACTCTCTTCTCGGCCTGGTCATAAAATTAATATTGTTGTAATGTTAAATTTAAATTTAGAATTAATCGGAACACACCTCCCGCACACTCGGTAGCACAAAGGGCTGAGTGTTATCATCACGATAGGCGCCAGCGCCCAAGTTGATCTTCTTCGGGTTCTTGTCCTTCTTGAAGGCCTCTGTCACTCCCAAAATGGCATCAGGAGGACCCATTTGCACCTCAGAGAACCATGTTGATCTAAGGAAAATACAAAAGTATAATTTAGTTTTAAGCGATAAAAATTCTTATCGTTATAACCTTGAACATCATAAAATATTCAAGGTTATAAATTTCAAGTTTTTAATGGTTTTTATTCTGAAGTATGATTCTTTTAATCAATATAATAAGGTATAAGGTTTTCTGTATTCACTTTTTCTTGAGTAATATCCGTCCTATCAAACTTTAACCCCCGCACACTAGAACACCCCACACAATGTCCTTATCTGGTTTAAAGTTAATTGCTAGATTAGAAAACTGCTTAGTGGGTTATCTCATCCACGTCTGCCACTTGTGGTTATCATTTATCATTTCGGTTTCATGAATAAAGTTTGAAAGTCATCTGGAGGTTTTCTTGGATTTCACACCCACTGGTAACACCTTTTACCCCCTAGACATGGGAGTCTATAAAATCCTTCCCTCTTATCAGCTGTAAACATGTTATTATGGGGAACTCGGTCGACGATTTACAGAACACACAATATAGATCCATAAAAGCCTACGTCAGCGATAAGGTCGATGATTGTGTGCTGACGTAGCCGGCTTCTTGAGTTTCTTTCTCATTATTCAGAACCTCAATAAATCGTGGAAATAGTCAAACTTAATTAAACTTTTTCAATTAGGTGGCACCTGTTGTCGGATCAGATTTGTTTGATTTTTGGTAGGAACCGTCTGCAGTTCGATAAAACAAACCGCTCATAACTTAAGAAGTTCTACAAAATGGAAATGAAAGCACGCGACTAAAGCATGATATGACCACGAATACACTACACTTTTTTCGCTCGGCATGTCCGCTTTCCCGGGTCGTTGGCCCACACATTAGCAATATCCTTTAGCGTCATCAGAATGCTTCTGTTCATAACGATACCAATTTTAACGCTCACGCAGACGAACAAAAATACTTTCTTCACAACTGTAAATTTTGATTTGAAACTGTTTCCTTTTTGAGGATTTTATCATGGCTAATTCTTTAAAATGTAACCTTTTTAAAATCTTTGAAAAACTATTATTTTTATTATTTCTGTGTTTCACTTTTTATAAATGTGTGAATTTTTATTTTTTTAAATAATTTTAAAATAATGTATGTAAAATAAAAAAATATAATTAAGACCTGTTATAGATAATGCAAAATAATTATCATCAAATTATTTAATATTCATAAAAAGTGTAATAACTTCCTGTACCGCATTTATAATTCGTTATATTCTAACCTATTCATCATGTGGTTCCAAATTGTTCTCTCAAGCGGAAGAAAATTGGCAAAAAATAGCATGGAGCGTCATAAAATTGGCTTTAAAAATAAATAAACGTCCCTACGTAATTGGAAAAGTAGCCAATATATTATAGTATAGAACCCAAGTCATATGCAAATATTACCCTGAAAGATAAGAACAGCTGGAAGCAGTGGATGTCATTGTTTTAGATTTCCCTAAAGAGAATGATGATGAAATAAAAAAGCCCCCCATGCTCTGATATAACAATAAATCCGGAGAACAGATATACGCTAAAACTGGAAAACAAATTCGCAAGGACAAACAAATTATGCAGTAATGGAGAAAACAACACACAAATAAGCGCAATTCGACCGGCAACTGCAATGACCTTGGCAAATGACACCGCTGCATTTGCAACGTGTTCAGCGGCTTTCTTTCTATCTCTGTCCCCCCTACTTTCTCTGCTTTATCGCCCCATCTTTCTCTTACTTACTTGCAGCGGAGGGCGGCGGGCGCCAATCGGTTGCTGATCAACAAACCGCGCTTACAGATCTGCGACATTGTTAAATGCACTAAATAGTTGTACTATCTTTTCAGTAATTGCAAAATCGTTGCCAACCCAATCGCAGCTGGCCTCAAGAGAATACTAAAGTATGGCAAAATGCGGCAGGCAAACACATAAGTTGAAAGCTTAAGCTTTTGCCGGTCAGCTTTCGATATTTTTATCGCGGGGGTAGAAAGGTAAAAAGCTCTACAGAGCTCCCACTTTAGCCATTAAATACCTAAGTTTATGATGCCTTTAAAAACCATGACATTATATTAGCTAAATTAAAATTAAATTGTTTTAAGAATTGAAAAATTAATAATATTATTATTATTTTAATAATTATAATAATTATTATTATTATTAACATTAAAAATGTCTTTAATTTACAAGAACATTTATATTTTATAGGGACGCCCATAAGTAGGCAATAATAATTGATTTTAGGAACCCATCATTTAAGATGTTTAAAGGCAACCTTGTATTTTCATCTAGATAATGGAACTACATACATTTAAATATTTTGTATAATCTATGTGTTGGGATGTTGTCGTTCCCTAGTTATTTTTAAAGTACATCATTTCGTAAACCAAATAAAAATTTTAATAGTTTTTAAAAAAAAATTTAGTTCATAACAACATATTCTTAAAAACAATGATAAATGATTTTAATAAAGGTATTACAAATTAAAAGATTGTGCTGTCTTTATTCAAAATACAATTTCATGTAGAATATTTAGTTTGTTAAGAATAATTTTCAAATTTCTTTCAGAATCTTGAAAATATACATGCTTTTTAATCGATAGTTGGTACCACCCCCAGAAATCGGGGGAGAAAGCTTTTCACTTCTGAGTCGTCGCGCGCAGCTGTTTTTCGTTCTCGAAGAAGCTTTGACTTGTCTTCGCCCTCTCTTCAGATTTAGTAGATTCGTAGCTCTGAGAAAAGGCAGAAACAAACGGTAGCCAACGGCAAAGTCACCCTCTGATATATTTACCTTGTAATTCAATTAACTGGAGGAAAATGCTGAGGTACGCGGTAATTGCCTGTGCTGTTTTGGTGGCCTTTGCTGGAGCCCTGGAGTTCACCGATTGCGGATCGAAGACGGGCAAGTTCACCAGAGTGGCCATCGAGGGATGTGACACCACCAAAGCGGAGTGCATCCTCAAGAGGAACACCACAGTCAGTTTCTCCATCGATTTCGCATTGGCCGAGGAGGCCACAGCGGTGAAGACGGTGGTCCATGGCAAGGTCCTGGGCATCGAGATGCCCTTCCCACTGGCGAATCCCGATGCCTGTGTGGACAGTGGTCTGAAGTGCCCCCTCGAGAAGGGAGAGTCGTATCGCTATACGGCCACCCTGCCCGTCCTGAAATCCTATCCCAAGGTCTCGGTCCTTGTCAAGTGGGAACTGCAGGATCAGGATAGTGCGGACATCATCTGCGTTGAGATTCCCGCTAAAATTCAGTAGGCGGTTCGGCGTAAACCCCCTAATTTAATCTCAAAATACTGAAGAGAGGGCGCGATGGGCGTTTCAGTTTGCCCTCTCCATTGTAATCTAATTTAAAATAAAGAAATTTAAACTTAAATTACTAGTTTTGAACTCGCAGTTTTTCATAGGAACGATGACCTGATTTAGGAGAACTAGAATGATATATCATCTAGTAGTTATTTATTTATATTTATCTCAAATCAAATGATTTTCTATACATCCAAAAACCTTATCTGAGGTAATTGTTTTGTTTTGCTCTTAGTCATTACTATTTCCTTTAAGACTTGGAATAAATAAGCTTTAAATCATAAGGAGAGTTAAAAACATGAGTAATCTGATCGGCAGTCTCTGAGCGGAAGCCTCAAGTTCAGAGTTTTCTCTCTTATTGTAATCTAATTTGAAATAATCTTTTGTGCGGGTCTTAAGTTGCTCTTTTTGTAGGCCTTTTTTTATTGCTATTTATTTTGTTTGCCTTGATTGCATCTTCCGTTTTGATGAAAATGAGAGGAAGGCGGAAAAATAATGAGATAATTCACAGTAAACTGTTTCTTCAATGAGGAAATCTATAATAATGTGAGCTAAATAAATTAGTTTTTGGGCTACTGCCTTTGAAAATTGTTGTTATATTTGTCTTTCGTCTTTTGTATTTTTTTTCCAGTCAGTCTTACTAAATGCAAAGAAGTCGATTGCCCCTCGATCAAGCTATAAAAAATAGTCCACTGTTTTCTTTGTGCAAAGATAAGTTTATATCAGTGGGAAATTTTAATGCACTGAGAGAAACAAGTTTCAATATAGATCAAAGAAATATTTATATACAAAGAAATATCCTGTGTAAGACGATTTATGCTTATCTTATCTTAATCTTTAAAGAGACATCCATAGTTTCCAAATAAATCGACTGGTAATAATGATATATAGGAGTAAAGGTCATGAATTGATAAGATGTCTGGGGCAAGAAATTGCAAGATTGCCATGTGACATTCATGCAATCCTGAAACTCGACTCAGTGACTTATCTTGGCTCTCGTATTTCACTCATTGTACCAACTACATTGTTTTCTCAGCTCCTTCAACTGTCGTACTCACTGTCATGGCGAAGATAATGAGTAAGCGGCTCTATCGAAATCGAAAACAATGCTCATCAGTGTTTTGGTTTCGATTACGGTCTAGAGTTCGCATTGGTATTCTCATTTTCTGTTCTCCGTTTTTCAGAACAAAGAATAGCCTGATAAGACGCCAAAAACAACTGAAACATCGCAAAAATAGCGGAGGGAGAGTGGGTGGACTGGATTTTCGGGGGCGACAGGGGTAGCAGCTGAAACCAAGTAAAAACACAAATCAACTGCAGCAGAGCTTTCCATTTCGTTTTCTCAATTTCCATTCCTTTTTCAGCCAAAAACACACTCATACACACTCGCAAGCCATATGGCCATATGCAAATAAAGCAAGGGGTAGGAAAAAGTGGGGGGTTTGGAGATATAGTGGGTGGTGCATCAGATAGAATTATCCGCAGTGCGCTAGCATCAGGATATTTAAGCAAAGAAATCGCTTTATTACATTCACTTGGCGCCACGAATTCCTTGAAATGCAATTTCTACCCTGAATCGGTGTCGGATTTGGATTCCGTTTTGAGAGTTCATTTTTTGTGGTCTTTCAAATAGTTTGATCCGGCTTATGTGCATATAAATGTCCGTATAACTAAAGGATTGATGATTTTGATATGGCGGATTTTCTTGTAAGCGTTTTATTAATTTTGTTAAGTTTTAAAATATTTTTTGTGGTCACTTTTAATTTGAAAAAAATCATAATTTCAAACAAATCTTGGGTCTAAAATTTTATAATTTTTAAAGTGGTTCAAATTAAACAAGGTAATACTTATCTTATATTATTGCACTGTAAGAAAATTCACTGGAACCAAGAATATATCTCGGAATCTTAGCCAATGACATTAAATTTCACCTTCCGGTTAGGGCTTCCGTAAGTCAACTCTGCGAGAAAAAAGACCACTTCCTCTGATGTTTTCACTTGATTTACATATGAATCCGCATAAAGCACGGCAGTCCGAAACTGCAAAGAAATGTGGGCCAAGCCCCCGAGTCCATCCTCTTAACCCACCGACGCGACGCCACGCAACCCCCCTTAACCCATCTGTAGACACAGCTGACGTTTAAAAACTTGACACAACGCTGCATGCAAAAGTGGGCGGAAGTGGGTGGTGCGGAGAAGGCGGAGTCGTAAGGGGGCGGTGGGAAAAATAAAACTGGGAAATGAAAAGAAATGTAGGCGGATGTGGGTACACTTAAAGAATAATACGTATATCTTGGGCTATAATGAAAATTGAGATATAGGATTTCTTAAAATATATTTCTTTGTTTTTGGAGACGATATTATAATATCAGTCAGAACTGTTCCATATATCACTATACTGTATAAAGCTATAACATAAAACTAACATAAAAATACTTTCTAAAATATGATAAAAATTGAGAGATAGAATCTCTTAAAATATATATCTTACCTTAGACGATATTATAATATCAGTCAGAACTATGCCATATACCACTTTATTATATAAAACTATACCATAAAACTAACATAAAAATTCTTTTTAAAATATGATAAATGACAATGAAAAATTGAGAGATAGGATCTCTTAAAGTATATATCTTACCTCTGGAGACGATATTATAATATCATACCACTATATTATATAAAACAATACCATAAAACTAACATAAAAATACTTTATAAAATATGATAAAGTATACTTTTTAAAAAGTGGGTAAATATTTGATAGGTCGTGTGAGCGAGGGACATGCTATTATTATTTAATTTTATTTTCCGTGCATTTCTGGTATCTCTGCTTTTGGTTGAGATCTCTTAAAATATATATCTTACCTTTGGAGACGATATTATAATATCAGTCAGAACTATACCATATATCACTATACTATATAAAACTATAACATAAAACCAACATAAAAATACTTTTTAAAATATGATATGATGTGGATAAATATTTCATAGGTCGTGTGGGTGAGGGACATGCTATTATTATTTTATGTTATTTTCCGTGCATTTCTGGTATCTCTGCTTCTGGTTGCATATCGTATGAGTTAACCCACCGGGCGCCAACCCCCTCACAATCCACCCCCCTTTTGTAAGCCGCTGTGTCTGCACAGAATTTCTTGCATAAATAGCAGCATGTGCGGAGATCTCTCTTTGTCTGTGGAACAAAAATAAAAAACATTTCTGCTCTGGCTGCATTTAAAAGTAAAATGCAACTTCCGCCCCCAATCGAATGTTAATGTTATATGAACAATTTTCGTTGCCATGTGCGGTTTGCCATTGTAAAATATTTCTGAGCTCCGGTTCTGGCCATGTCATTTTTTGGTCACTGCGCAAATCGAGTTTTCTTGTTTGACTCTGCAGCATTTAATTCCGTTAATTACGAGTGCCCACTTTAAGGAGGGGTCTTTTGGGGGTCTGTAGTAAGTATCGCCCTCATCTGTCGCTGACAGTCTGGCCAACTTTATGTTTATTTTCATTTTCATTATGTTTTCATATTTTTTTGTATAGTTTTTGTTTTGAATTGCTTTTGGTGGTGTCTAAACTTTAAAATTCTGTGGGAGAAATGGCTTGATAAATTGTTAAAGTTCGGAATTTGTTTGTGGCACATGTCATTGCTGCATTATGACGATATATCGTCATTATAATGTAGGATTTTTTTGATATAAGGCAGATTGCCTTGCATGCTTTCTATGTTTTCCTTGCTTTTATTGGGTTTTCTTGACTATCTTGGCCCAGTAAGAGCTTGAGTTCAAAGCTGGCTCAAATGATGATAAAGTGGAAAGAACAAGAAGGGTGGGGAAATCTATAGATTTCATATAGGAAATATGCAGGCTAAAGCTTTAATGCATTGATTTAATTTATTATTTAATAATTTTAGAATTATAAACCTGAAATTAATTAGTTGCGCATGGTTGACCGTGACATTTGCAATTTAATGGTTTCTATTTCTCTAAATATAGAAATAATTATTAAAATCCCCTGATTCCCTTATAACAATTTTAATAATGGTTCGTTTTAATAATTTATAGTAAATTCCAAAGTGTATTTTTAGCAAAAGAAGGTTTTATAAAAGTGTCATGGTTTCCGATCTTTCTACACAGTAATGAAGTAATCGATCATCTTAACTCACTTAGGACTTTGTACTTTATTCTTAGGGAGTTTTTTCTCGAGCTTAACGTAGCACTCGAATTTGTTGAAGGATTCTTGGCACTTATCGTCATTCTTAATAGAAAGGCAGACTTGATTGTCCTCTGCTTTAAATCTTTTCTTTGCTACATCCAGTATAGGCAATTTCTCGAAGACGCAGTGTATAAAGCATTTAACATTGTGCGTTCTAGCTTTGATTTTGTACTTCATCATAATACCCATGGCTTCTTTAAGTTGAACTTTGTTAAGCTTTGCGCAGTCATTTGCTGTTTTGACAATGGTCGGTTGCTAATAATGATAAATTTATAAGGCTAATGTATAGGCCAATAAAATTCAACTTACAGAACTGGCCAGAACTGAGAGGCTAACTAGAAATGTGGAGATCAGCAACAGTCTCATTTTGCAGATCGTGTTTCTGTGTGACATTCAGGTAGCGGAGCTCGAATTTAAATAGATTCTTGTGCCTTCATTGGACACACCTATTAATAATTTTACGGTTTTTTACCCTTTAATTCTTATACAAGCGGTTATAGAAAATTGTAAGTAAGCCTGTTATAATTAGTTTCACATGGTCAACTTATTATCGATATATATAAGACCATAATTTATTAAAACCCTCTGCGGTTGCTGATCCCAATTGCGCTCATATATATTATTAATGGCTTCCCACCTACGATCCACTTGTAATCCCCTTGTTACTTTTAACAGTTGCATATTTTTTGTGCTCCTGTTGCGGTTTTTGCATTTTAAATAAATCCCATTTGCTGTCAGTTGGACCTGCAGTTATCTTAATTATTTGCATGTGGCCGGCACTCGTTGTTAACAGGATGGAAATACATTGAATGCCATAACTACAAGTAAATGGTCAAAAAGTGTAGCCGGGGGTATGGGTTTTGCCATGACCTGTCAATTCTTCAGCGGGTTTTTTTCTTGTCCCGCTGTCGTCTGAACCATGGTTATAAAAAATTCGCAACAGGAACAATCTGCAGTCCTGATGCTGACAGTTATGATATGGCAGCAGGACACACAGAACAAAAGAGAGTTGCGCTGGGGAAAAAAATTGAAATTGCATTGCATTGCAATTAATCAAATGGCGAAACAGATAGCTTAATTTGTTTACGTTGTGCCCTGAAATGCAACCCGACAGAGAAGCCAACTCCATTGTCCTTTAAATGTCCGTATTTTGTCCGGCAATGTCATTAGCATCCTGATTACCTCTACATTTTTAATGCGCTTTCATTTGTTTGTCCACATGTGCAAATTATACTGGAACGCCCTTCACTTTGTCGCAATGACCGCGATTAAAAACAAATTAATTTTAAATTAATTACTCGACAAATATTACCCGAAGCAGAGTTTTCTGCTTAATTTTTATGTCAATTGTCAAAAGTCTTATTGGTTCTTAAGTTCTTAAAGTTTCTCTTTTAGAAAACTTGATCCGATGTGTTTTTTAATTTTAATAATGAATAATTCTTTTGGCAAAAGTAATGGGAAGATTGCACATATAATATTACGCAATTTTAATATATATGTATGAACCTCAAACAGCAAAATATATTGAACTCTGTATTCAGCTCTTTATCATAAAAGTTGTTTGAACAGTTTTCGCGTGCAAGGGAAATGCAATTCTCATTAACATTTCGAATTTTTGCGAAAATTTTCCGCATTGCATATGAAGTGCTGTGGGTAAGGCAAACTACATATGAACTTTGTATGAAAATAAAATATTGAATTAAGCATATACAAATGGGCCGAATGAATTTTTGGTTTGGCACACGCGGCGTATGCGCAATATTTAGTGCACTTAAAGAGCAACCATTTGCATAATGAGGGAATCATTCCAAAACTAGTACCATCCCTAAACCACGAACACAAATAGACATAAACAAAAGTAAAAATTGTATTGGGTTGTGGTATTTCCGCCCCGAAGAGTTGTTCAATTAATGTGTGTTGGTCCATGCGGCGTATGCGTAATGCCAAAATGCGAAATAAGGTGAAATGAATTGCGGAATGGTTTCAGTAAATAGGCGCATAATGCTTTTCTGTATTCAATGTTTATTTGGGGTCAATAAAGGGGGCTTATTGATTCCCAGGACTGCATTTTGCCAGCCAAAAGCAATTAAAATGAGTTACAAATTGTGGGTATTTTGGCTAAATGGTTAGGTATTTAGAAATACTTTTTTCGGCTCAAAGGATTTTTCTCATATGAACTTTAAAATATTTTTTTTTGGCTTAAAGATTTTACTCATTTGTCCAGACTGACAAAGACAACCAAACCCATTGGCATTCAAATAAAAATCCATATAATCCCACCCTTGAAACTTAACCCCCTACTGCCCATCACGTAGTAACTATAGATATGTACGTGGGTATGCCCAGCGTGAATTCAGACTCACAGTTGAGGCGTCCTTCCATATAAATCACATAAATATTCACATTCATTTTCATTTCCAACACTCTACCCCCCATTTTTGTTTCATTTCGTTTTCCTGTTACCAAAGAGTCCTAGATTTACATATTCATTTTGCTCCACATTTCATTTTTTCAGCGCTCTATGTGTGTTTTTTTTTTGTTTCTGTGGAAAAAGCGAGTGGTGGCACTTAAAAAGTCGTTACAAGGTGCAAAAGTTTTCTATGTCAAAATATACAGCCGGCAGAGGCAGAGACAATGACACTGAAGTGTGGGAAATAGTTCTGGGAAATGGGGTTTCATAGTCGCCCACATATGTCAATGGTTTTCCAAAAAAAAAAGAAAAGAAAAAAATAATAAAGAGGCTCGAACGTTTCTGACCCATTTAGGAGTTCCATGACAGAGAGATATATCTGCCGTCAATTTGAAAGAGGAAAAAAATGAAAACAAAAATTCCCATTTAATTGCCCGAAACGGAAAAATGGTAGACAAAGTTTTAAGCTTTCCAAAATTTTCCTTTGCCAAACACTGAGCACAGGTTGAGCCAGAGATGTGTGGACAAAGTTTGGACCGAAAAATTTCATAACTTTTCAATGCGGCTAATATAAAGTTACCTCAGCAAGGATTTAACTTCAATCAGCCCAGACACACAAACACCCACACACATCCAAAACAGCTAGGGAAAAGTCCTCGCAATCAATTTCAAATTTCTCCTGGTCTCATTTGCTTGGGCGTAAATTACTTATGAGCCATTCATTTATTACACCTATCGACAAACTACGCAAAATTGACAGCTTAATGATTTGTTCATAACTTTGCCAATGGGTCCTTATTTATAGGAAACTTGGACGTACGTATAGGTAAAGAGGCTGTAAATGGTAATTAGAAAAGTTGGGCTCATGTGTGTTTCACTAAGCTCTGGGGGAATTATATGAAGCCAGAAAGTTTATCGGACAAATTATATGAGAGCTTGGCTGTAATTGGATTACGGGAAATGGAATAGAACGAAAGTATACTTTTGGGGTTAAAGCTTATATGTTAAAGATTCTATGTAAATACTTAAAAATAAAATTAAATTTTTTGCAAAAGTCTTTATAAGAATATTTAATATTATACCCCTAGCAAAGCTGGTAGAAGAAAACTTCATAGATTTGCTAAATTGTGTGCTTCGATTCAGAATGATTTATTCAGATACTCTTTTGCCATCTGAAATACTAAACCAAATTTCTTTGATGTGCAAATTTCAGCAATTTTCAAACTCAATTATCTTAATATAATTTCAAAGTTTCGTAACCAATTCTGACAATTTGAGCATAAATATTGAATATGGGCTAGAAGATAAAATGAGGGGAATGTCGGCGACTTTCACACTTTCATTGAGTTTCTAGAAGCAACATCAATTTGCCATTTCATCAATTAAATATGCTGACAGACTTCAATTATTTATAGAGAATGAACCCAAAAATGCTGCCATGAAAGCGAAGATATCTTCAGGTATATTTATTTAAATACCTGTTTGTGTATTCCTGTATATGTATGTATGTTTTCAATCTGAGCTCGTCTGTGTGTGTGTGTGGGTGGAAATTACTTTTCGGAAAATTATCATGCACATTGGCCGATGTCACATGCCACTCACACAAATGGTCTTATATGGGAAAATTCAATTTGATGCTGATGCAGTTGCGCTGCTGTTGTTGATGTCACTCGCCCGACTCATTAAGTATTAATTGTAAATTTTAATTAAAATAAACCGAAACGATTACGGACACAACAGAGGAAAGGAGACGAGGCGAGATTGACCGGCAAACTTTCCTGCTTCTGATGGCCAGGTAATAATGTTTACTGATTTTATACCACCACCCACCACCCTCCTTCGAATATACACATTACCCATATAGGTATACATATATGAAAAATCCCATTAATTGCCCGGTAAAAGACCAGTCCAGTAGGGTAAAAACAATAATAAATAATACAAGATTGCGACTGCAGCAGGGAATGGCAAATGAAAAGAGCAACTGCAACTGCAACTGACATCTTCCACCATTCTGATTCCGGCCGACTTTGATCACTTGGTTAACGTATGACTTAAAGTGGGCGTGGCCAATCTGGGGCAGGTTTAAGTATCGAACATTACGTGATTGTTGCGGCAGGCCGATTAATTTCATATGTTGCATTAAGACATTATGACAGACAAGGCTGGGTTTAATTCTGCTTTTGTTAATTGCTCTTAACTTGGTGAATTTTATTAAATCTTATTATGAAGAGATATTATAGTTATTGATAGCATCTAAGCATCTAAGATGTTCTTTTCTTGATGTCATTTTAATTATTATTCCAACCTTGAGTTCAGCTAAAAAAGGTCGTTTATAAAGCCAATTATTTCTTTGCCTCTGTCAAATGGATTAATTTTTTTAAACCCTATATAAATGGTATAATATCGTGATAAAAATATGAAACCGTTTTGAGACCAAAGAGAAAATCTCGATACGTTTCACAAAGAATAACTCATATATATGAGAAGTTTTTTAGAAAACAGCCCATCCAAAACCTTTACCTTACTTTTGAAGTAAAATTTGTTGTAATTTTTTGTGTACGTTAAACCAAACACAAATAGCTCTATTTGAGGGTTGTCGCATGTAGGGTTGGAAACCTATAAGTAGGCTATGTTCTTTGGTCATGTTTCATCTTTTTCAAAGAAACTTTCCTCCATAATATCCTTCCCTTCACTTCAAAGTAACTCCATAAAGCCTCTCTTCAATGGAAATTCCTTTTCAGATTAACCCCGATAAAACCCCGATATGCTGGCTTTCATCATTCCTTGGGTGTGACTGAAAAATGGCCAATAAATCGTGTGTTAATAATCTGCCCCTGTGCACATGTGGGCGTGGCACATTCACACAATGAATGGCCCGGCAAACACAAGCGGAATGAATTGTATTTATTTGTGCGCCATAATTTGCTTATTTTTGTTCCACGTTGTCACGTCTGCGGGAAAATTCTCACTGAC